GTTGGGCAGCACAAAAGTGCAATCCTGTGAGGGACAGTTGGTGCAGTGCACAACACAGCTGTGCTTCTTTGAGGTGTTTACAAAGTGACCCAGAGAGTGACTTCAGCATAGAAGGGTTAATACAAGTATTTGAAGTTTTCTGCTGTGCAAATAATTATTGGAGAAATATAAACCAACAAGGTGTCAACCTAGCTCTTACGTGTATTTATTTGAACACAAAACCATTTCCTGCATCAATCATTGTTTTGCATAGTTTACGGGAGCACATATTCGAAGTACTGTATTACATTAACCCTAACCATCCTCAATCCTTTAAAATCTTCCGGGTGGTTTGGGAGGATTTCAGAGGATTGAGGCTGCAGTGCTGATTGCGAAGGCTGTGGGTAAGACCCTGTGCTTTTTATGTTCGGCCATGCATAAATTCATGCCTACAGTTTAGGTGAAATCTTCCTTACTGCTCCAGAATATTATTCAAACTGCCTCAACACAATGAGAGGAATTGCCGGAGGATTTTGGAGGACTGAGGCAGAGGGCATCCCCCCCACAGAACATATGCAAGAAAGATCACAGGATTTGGGGGGATTTTGAAGGACTGAGGGTGTCTCCTAGCCAAAAGGGTCTAGGCAGTTTGGGAACCTACGTTAAGCTATGCTCATCGATTCTAAATAGGCTACGTTACTGGCGGCCACTTCAGATTGGACGATAGAAGTCAACATCTCTGCAAATAATGCAGATGTGCACACTTGGAAGAATGCGCCTACCTTATTGACAGTGAATGTTGTTTCAAACAAGCAGCCCTTCATGTTGTTTATGGGCGTCTTCTTGGTGTTGTCAACATAACCAACTTCATGTCGGCCCATGTCATCTTGTATATCTAGTCCAAGAACTGGAAACAACGAAAACATCAAAGTTAAAATAGTCCGCCATGATCATCCTTCCAACTTTTCATTACCTCTGCCAACGGGTTATTCGACAGATCACAATTACGCAGAAGAGGGCACCGTAAAAAGCGTGTCGAGTGGAAAGTGCAAACGACAAGCAAATAGCAGATGGTGATCATAATACACAAATACAAGGGACTGAAACAAAACAAAGTGAGCCAGACCTGAACAAGACAGTCTCGGAAGGGTAATGTTTAGCCGGACATCCAGCCGTTCCACAGTTCCTGGGTTGTCAACGTAGAGTTCGCTGACCCTGAAGATGGCATCAAAAAGACCGGAGTACAGTGTGAGCATGCGTAAAGGTGTGGGACATGTGAGAAACCACACAAACTTGCTTTTCCGGATTTTGCACCACGTCATCTAACAATATGTCATGTAACACAATCAACATACATGTACATGTGTATACAGTATACATGCATGCGGGTATGTATTTCATCCCTGCTCATTGAGCTCACATCTGAGCAATCCCGAAACTACGCGAACCCTCTCAGCTCCCTGGGGAGCCAAGGGTGAATCCGAGGGGAGGGGAAAGGGAAGAAGAACGGAGGCCCGCGATTTGGCCAAAGTGCTGAAAAATTGAAGCTTAACCTTTCTTCACAGCACAGGCAAATCAACGTTTGGAAAGCACAGAGAACCGTGCACTTCCATGCGCACAAAATGTGTCTTAGAAACAGTTCCGAAAAATTAGGAATCTCCAAACTGCTACAGGTATAATACATGCACTTAACCTCGTACAATACAGATAATAAATCAGAACATCAGAACAACAAGTCCATGTACCACACTTATTTTGACTTTGGCTGAGTAAAACAATGTTGGCGCTCTCTTTGCCCCAAAATGCCAACAGAAGATCCAGTGGTCAATTCTTTTTCAAATTGGACAGGTACATGTATGCACGGATTCCTTTTTGCCTGTTCCTTCATTTTTTTACTTTCAGATTCAAACCCACTGTTGACAAACTAGTCACATGCTGGAGATGAGACCAAGTCGGAGACGATGCACATGAATGAAACAGCAGCCATAAAAGAATCACCAAGCTTTCAATGCATCCACGCATCAAGTGTATCTCCTGTTGCTTTACTGTGCTGTGCTTGTTTGATTTTGCAATTCAAATATGGATTTTTATCACAGCAGATGCAAAGACATCTGCCGGATTACAATATGCCCTGCAAACAAGTGTCGTTTGCATAGGGAATCAACAGTCTACCCAAACACGACTCAAACCGCAGGTTGAAATAGCCAAATGCATTAGCATGAGGACTTTTATTAGCCACGTGTAATGCTGAATAATTTCACTGTATCTTTTAACATGGCCAAATTTTTCATTTTTGGTATTCAAAACCTCAAAGAGCCCATGTCGTCTCGACACATTATATTTTTCCAATTGTGTGGGGTCCTTCAGCCACGGTCAGGGTTTCTCTCCACTAGTTCTTGTGAGGCTTTCGAAATCAATTTCCAAAAGCAAAAATTAGACAAAGCAGATCAGACTGACGTAATATTCTCATCATAAAAGACCTATTTTGCCGAGTCAGGTCGGACAGAAATGTTAATGCAGATTGCACCGAGTGCACGGGCTGCAATGCTTGACGTGAGCTACATGTAAACTTTACAAAGTGACCATACTCATAAAATATAACATCACACACAAGACTGAATTCCAACTCCACAGCTGTACTCATAACAGATGTCCTTACAAGCCTCCAAAGTGGCAAGAAGATCAGTCACGAGATGGTCAAGATTTCACTGTCCCCTCCCCCTTAGGGTTAAGAATGAAGCCGCACCTTCTGATCAAACTTCCAAGCTCTATATGACAATTGCCGTGTAATGAATATTTCTCTAAGTGGGTTTCCCGATGTGACACACTTCAAAAAGTCAATCATTTCCTCAAGCTGGTGAGAAACTTTTTTTTCTTGAAGGAGTCACATTAAACCAATATACAGTCGGACCTTGTTAATAAGACGTCCTTCAGACTAGGCAAATCACCTTGTTATAACACGAATCTTGTATTATCAGGAATGAAAACAATGAAAAACAAAAGATCAGGACCTACAAATTTCCTTGTTATAAGGAGAAGCTGGAATTAACGAGGCTTGACTGTACTACATGTAGCTCAAACACCACACTTCAGGTTGACCCCCAAAATAACTTCTTTTTTTTGGGGGGGGGACATTTAAAGCCGATGGCTTTCTGCTTGAATTTGACATTAAAATCAAGTTACCGGTACATTGTGCTCTGTGCAAATCATCAAGATCTATGACTAGGGACATTCCAACATGCTGGAATTTTGCTTTTTGTGCAATCCAGGTTATCATCCTGTAAACATTGCTGTGATGAAATCTTAGAAACATAGTTTGAGAGTATTTCCATGTTTTAGGGGACGTCATGTTCGTTCCTGAACTGGATTTTTTTAGCCTTGGTATCTTCAACCGTGTTTCTACTGACCAGCTGCATTGTAACAAAAGTTCACTATAAGTGGCAGTGGAGTGGGAGCATTATTTGAGATCATATACTCGTACTTACACATCTGGCTTGATGAACGATGTGAACTCGGACAGTAGTAAGAACACAATGAACAGAATGCTGCAGATTGACACTGCCAACAGATTCAAGAAAGACATGTTGCTTCTTTAGGTTTTGCGAGCTAGATTTCTTTTATATCTCAAAGTGCAGCTGGAGTTCAGAGATTGGGATTAAAGTTGGGGGGAAAAAAAATTCAAAAGGAAACATTTTTGGGAAAGGAGAACCCTAGTAAGAAACAAGAAGGGTGTGTCCAAACCAATTCTACGGCACCGTGTTAATGGTGACCTTGGCCTACAGAACTACATTTGTTGTATAAAAGCCAAAGTCAATAGCCTTCAAGACAACATCAAGCTCATCACAAGCTACATACTGTACACATGTACATCCAGTTTTTCTTGTGGTGGTGGGGAAAACCATTTCTGTTGTTTTAACCAATAAATGACCTTGACCTTTGACTTATGGGTCAAAAAAACTTATCTCTGAAGGTCAGGCACAAGGGTACGGTACACACACACTTGCTCTGTACATGGACCATGTACATGTAGTTGTGGGAACAAACAATCCTCGTTACACCAATTTTTTGAGGGGGCCCAAAATATTATGGTGGCAGAGAAATGTGCCAACTCAGTCTGAATTTCCCTAACAAAAGAAGCTGTTCCCTTAACCCAATGAAGGCCTACATGTACATGTACATGCACCAGCATACAGAACCCAGTACATGTATGTACATCCCTCCTGCTTCGAATCTCACATCACTGCAGCGAATGACTGTTACATGAACATGTACAGACATCTATATACTGTACAAAAAGCTAACAATTGAGCCCTCTGTGAACTACTGCAGCAAATTCATACATGTCCTAGTAGGCCACCGACAGGGCTGCACCGAATATCCGAATATTCAATCAATTATCGAATGTTCAAACCATATTTTCTGAATTTGAATATTTGAATGCAGAATTCATGAAAAAGGAAGGGAGAATTTTCTTTTGTTTTAAACGAGAAAAATTGCACTATGGAGGCTTGTTTCAAGCAGATTCAAATGAAAAGCAACAGAAATCTCACAAAGAAAAAGTAAACTATTCTTTAAAAAATCTAACAGGAATAGATATTTCCAAAAGGGCAACAAGTATTGTTTGTCTGTTAATTCTTGCTAAATCCTGGCTGGAGATACTCCTAGACGTGAGAAGCTATAATGAACAATTATGTGCGTTATTGCAACTGATTTTGCTTACAGTTTGTTCATCAACAATCTGCTGGTTCGTATGACTAAATATGCAGATATATTCGATTGAACTATTGTATGAATAGTGAATTATTTGAATTGACTCAGCCCTAGCCAAAGAACATGAAGGCTGAGTCCACAGTACATGTACATGTACTATCCTTTGACTTACCGGCAGCTCCAGTTAATGTTGGCTGTGTCAAGTCCTTTGGGATCTTTCTGTAGACATCTAGTCTGTATTCATAGACCAAAATGTATAACATTTGTCAAGACGGGCTTCCATGCACAGCCTGCATGGTATTAAATTTCATAAATGCCAACATCATCTTAAAAAGGGGTCTGAGAAAGTACCCTAGCTATTCCCTTTTCCTTGCTAAAAGGTCCCCCTTTTCTGCACTTGTTGGCATTGGTGAGGCTCAAAAATTGTCAAGGCTTGACGTACGTGTAGGACCCTCTCTACCATGAACTTGGGTCCAAGAAGAATTTCATACAGTCAGTCAGAAGTATATATATGATTAGTTGATGAACACTGTTGCTAATGTACTACAGGTCCATCACATTACCAGTAAATCACGTCACAGACACTTTTTGCCTCATACGTAATAAGACTATATTATTACTACAGAAAATAGAGGCCCACATCATAACTCTTGGGACCGTCCCTGCATTCAGAGAAGTTCCTTTATTTGGGAACGAAACCAGTCTCCTGAAAGAGAGAATGTCTCCTTCATGTCTCCTTTCCCAAGTGGGCTTACGTCCAAAATATCTACATGCTGGTATCTATTTTTTCTCTCATATTTTCCATTCATACATAAATTTAGTTATTTCAGTTGTTTTCAAGAACTTTGTGCCATGTCACTTGATTAATTATATCATAAAGAATAAATTTTAGAAAAAATTGTTTTGATGTGTTTTTCGCCCACCCTTTATGTACCTCTGCAGACTCCTGCTAATCCTGGGCTCGAAGTAAACAGTACACAAATATAACATGTAGGCAACTATACATAGAACTCTTGGGGGAAAGGAGCAGCATTTCTATGGGTACACAACAAGAATAAGATCCCTGTTCATGCCCTGTTAAACGTTATGTAGAGCTTATGGCGAAAAAAGGCCCGTTTTCTGTGGGTTCGTGGCAGATACCTGACTCCACAGTTCTGGGGGTACTGAACGCATAACTGTCTCAACCGACGACTTGTCTCAACGGATGACTTGTCTCTCTTTTTTACGTACGGACGGTCGAGGTGTTCGGACCCCGCCTAGACTTGAATCAAGTCGGACTTACGTTGCTCTTCCCTCGTTAGCCATCCCTTCAGCTGGTATATACTATAAATGGTCACTGCGTTCCGCCCTGCAGCTCGCATAACCCTTATAAGGTGCCCTCATTTAATAGCCTTTATTGTACAACGTACGTCAACATCACTAGTCAGTAAGTCCGACTTTAAGGATAAGTTAATTAGACCCCCCCCGTCGGTGATATGTAGTTATTCATAATTGCATGAACGGCATGATCTTGCATAATGTAAACGGAATTTCCACCAATCCAAGTAGTCAGACTTGTAGACTTGTTCATTATAATGCAGGTATGAATGACAAAAAACAAGTCCGGCAATGTGACGGCTGCCACCACTTTTGGTAGATGAGCCCATTCGCTGTGTACAAACAATTGGCAGATTAGTCAAGTCGGGATTTCTGAACTGAACTCATACTGTAGTCATAGCAATGATGACACGAGGGCGCAAAGCAAAAAACAGTGTGTGGTCTTGATATTTATCCAAAGCAGAAACGAAGGCATCACAGAGATCCCGACTTGAGTCAAGTCTAGACAACAAAATGCCTGAGTAGAACTAGGCCCCTACTCACTGATCTCTATTATCTATACACTAGACAGGCAGCCCAGCAGTAACTGCCTATGTGTGAATTGAAGTGACCAGGCAGCCATGGGATATTTAATACGATGGTCTCCAACTTCAGTCCATTCACTAAGCATGCCATTGTATTGAATAGTCTAAGATGGCCATGCGGTCGCTTCAATTTGCAGAGCTGAGCTGCCTATCTAGTGTACAGAGATTAGTGAGTAGTAGTACTGTACTTAGTAGTACACTAGTACTAGTCACACATAGGCCCTAGTACTAGTAGGCAGACCACTAATTCAAGTAAGAATTTCTGGCCAGCTCATTAGCATTAAAAGTGCCCCACAGTATCCTTTGAACAAGGAGATTGTTTGGCCCCCAAAATGGTGAGATTGTGTAAATCGCTGCCGGGATCAACTCCCCAGGTCTTTGAGCTTTCATATGAGAGCAGAATGGCTAAAAACTATGGTTGAGAAATGGTCCTAAGTGCTCGAGAAAGTTGAGGGTTACCACTTGAAAAATGGCTGCAATCAGACTTCGGAAAAATCACTTTTTGGGGGGTGATTTTGTTTTGTGGGAATAATTAAAAATGTAATTGGTTAACCCACAAAAACTTGGATAGAAATTGAAAGACAAGTTACCAGAAGAGAATTTCATTTGTGTTTCAGAAATCTCAGGGATGTTGGCGTGCATGCTATTGGGCCCTGAACGGTGCTGATTTTACACTGTTTTCAATGGGGCTTGAATTAGTGGATTGTACCCATTGTTAGATTCAACGTCCGGAAATTAGGCCCACTGCTTCACTCACCTTCTTACGTCAAATCCCATTGTTATCCAGAAACCTAAAGGTCAACTGCAAACGACTAGTGATTAAGCCCGTTAAGGATATTTGTTTACATGCAGAACCACCTTGAAAACAAGTACAATAAGATCAAAGTCACGATGAAAACACGCCGGTGACCTACATACATGTACCAATATGCCTATTTGTATCACATGAGCATCATCTCTCCAACTCGCGCGCATTCGATATGTGCATGCAGCATGTGAAGTGGTCTGAACTTGGACGCGCTAAGTATAAGAATGGGAACCAGACTAAGTATAAGAATGGGAACCAGACTACCTGGTTTCAACAACCACTTGGTGGCTTGTGATTGGCGGACTCCGTGGGTACCATTCACCATATCTAGCAGTGCAAGAGAGTACCGAAGTGAAACGTCACGCGCACGCGCAGTGTTTAAAAGGCATAAGCGCGTGAACCAGCGCGTGAACCAACACGCGCGCGTACTCCATTCGTTTGCACTGCATTTTCTGGTTCACAATGACGTCACACTTCGGTACTCTTACATGTAAATACTGCAGCCTGGACACGGGCACGTACGGAAGCGTATAAGGGCCACTTGCAAAAAAAATTTTCGAGATACTATTTTGCCGCGGCAAGTTACTATCTCGCCGCGGCAAGTTACTATCTCGCCGCGGCGACTTACCATCTCGCCGCGGCGAGTGAGCTAAAACTAGCTCAACTCGCTGCGTATTAGGACTCAGTCTAGATACCAGACCCAATGACTCTGACAAAACTTCTAATCAATGGTCATGTGTCACCGCATGTCCATGTGACCAACACTCTCCCAGATTTCCGAGAATAGTCGAACTATTCCGAACGTATCCTGTCCATATTGAATTCAGTTTAACGGCAACACTTTTTCTTTAATGCTCCTCAAAATGGTAAAATTTTTTACAATGATTAAAATGAATAAAATTTGTAGCCAAATGAGTAGAGGGAGAAAAAAAGACTATTCGGATTGTATCGGTAATTTTCGGGTATTTCCGGCCGCGTCTGTACCAAGAATTTTGTAAACTGTCCAGGTTATATCGGTCGGAGTACTCCCCAATTACGAAGCAGAACTAGGGCCGAAAAGATTGGAACAAGTTTGATAAACGGACAGCATTTTTTAACTGAACGTGTTTTAAAGTGAATGTCTTTTTTTTTAATTCGTAATTTAGAAATTTTTAAAGAGTGGATGAATTTTCATTGACGCAGCGTATTTTCTAGATTCCAAGGAATTTAAAAGAACGTAAATTTTTACAAAGACAAGAAATGGAACGAATTTTTAAAGTCCCAACTTTTTTCAGGTTGAAATAAAATATTTTTTACAGAATAGATTGAACATATTTTAAAAATGGGAACACCTTTTCAGTGTAAAGCAGCTATTCGGTGCACGTATTGTACACATCCCCATGCCATCCTAAATGAGCGAGCAACCCAATTAATATAAATCCAAATTTATTATCAACCACGAATAAAAAGCAACTTGTGAAAACCTCGCTAAAACAGTTTTGGAAAAATATGCTTCACTTTTTCCAAAATACACTTGAAGCACTATGAGGCTTTTGCAGAATACAGTCTCCGGAGACCTGCTCGCCAACCGGGGTAGTTGTGGCTGACACTAGGGCAGGCACGAGGATCACGTGATGGCTAAACGAACGCTCTCGTGTAAGTTTGACTTACACGTGTAAGCTAATCGAACGCACCCCATGTGTAAAGTCTACTTATTGTGCACTGCTGGGGGCGAGTGTATTGTACCAGAATACTAAACCTGCTTCTTTGCAGTTTTGCCACTTCATGTGCGTCGGACTCGCTGACTAGACCGTTGTGGTGAAGTGAATCTGCTCGAAACACGCCATGGAGTTTTACAGTCAGGTGAAAGCCATGTTGCCCGGCGTGATAAACGGGAAAACACTGGACGAGTTGGAGGAAGAATTAGCGGCAATGCAAAAGATGGGCTTTCACTTCGTGAAAGGGATCAAGCTTCCATCCGTCGTGCCTGTGTCGAATTTGGAAGCCCTAAATACCTTTGAAGTTCGTCATGATGATGTTTATGCAGTCACCTACCAAAGATCGGGTAAGGCATTTCGCTTTCTCATCGGGCGCTGCCAGGTCACTCTTTTAAAAATCGTTTGAATAAATCTCTGTTTCTTTTTCAGTGTCTTTCTGTCCTTTCCCGGCCACTTTTTCTTCCACAACTTTTCTCCTATCTTAAAAGGTCCAAAGACCGTTTGATGTACAAACGTGTAACTTTTAGCATACGCAACCCTAAAATCTCAAGTATTGCATATTTCTCTTACGTCATGCATGACGTCATAGGGTGTCGAGTTACAAGCAATTAAAGTTTGATATTTTTAATCTTTAAAATAATCAACTCCGACATTCTTCATCATGCTTTTTGCAGAAATTGAAGAGTGAATTAAGGTCTTCAGATTTTGTGACCGTACCCTTTTAAACGCTTTTGTTCGGAGCCAGAAAGGTCTTGTTATTTACAATTGTTAATCGATACGAACTTGAGTTCAACGGTGTTTTTCCTCTCCGGCAAGATACAAAACTTGCCCGGTGATTTTATGAAATATTTCCGGGCCCTCTAATGACAAGTTGAAAAAGTCGATTTCTGTGGTGAAGTTCACGGTGAAGTGCAATGACCTCCATTCATAAAATGCGTAATTATGTGAGGCAGTGGCGTAACTAGGGAGGGGTGGGCACGAAGGGGTACGGCCCCCCCAGGAGATACATGTCTTACCTAGGGGAACCCCCCCCCCTTTGAAATCTGAATAATCTCTGTTGAAATGCAGCTGTAACTTATTTCGTACCTCCTTCAGCAACATGTGTGCACCCTTTAGACCTAGTTTAACCACTGATTTTTTATTATTGAGTTGTTTTTATTCCCAAAGGATGGCCAATAGTCTGCCTTGGTGATGCCCTTGTCTGGGTCAAGTCTTTGCGAAAACTGTGATCAGACAGCCTGTGCTTAGCACCCTCAATAGCTTCTGCGAGGCAGACTTCAGCAGATGCTTTGCGTTTAGTTACCCAGGAACCTCGAAACACTTAGTCAGACTTCTGTGCAAACACAGGAAACTAAAAATTGGAATTATGGATGACGAAATGTCTTTATTTTTAACCCCTTATAACAATGCAATTTCCTTAGTTCTCAGTGTCAAAGATGTGCAACCGCAAAAACAGATGGGTCTGCGTCGATAAATTTTCACACCACTTAAAACCCCTCTGCTCTTCGCTTCGGAACGTCAAAAATAAATCTTTGTCTGGAAAAGCATAAAGTCAACTTCTTCGTTACAGGAACCCACTGGATTTTAGAAATAATTAGCTCCGTTCTAAACGATGGGAGGAAACATTTCGACCGCACGTTTATGACTAGCAACTTGGAGTCAACGCACGTAGGCCTAGGTGACCCATCGAAAATGGAGAATACAACACCGGGGTATAAATTGTTTGAATCCGTGAAGTCGCCCAACAGGTGCATCGGTTGCCACTTACCAGTCATCCTTCTGCCTCCGCATGTGATAAGGAAAGCTAAGGTAAAACACCGGAGAGACGTGTGATAGCGGCATAAGAGAAAATTACCTTAAAATGGTGTGGCCTGGTGTGGGATTGAAGCATTTCTTCTTGTCTAATCACCCGTCGGTAGGTCGATCGGTTGTTGGTTGGTGAAATACAAGTGTCGCTCGTACTTCTACTAGGGAAATGGGTCTTCATTGGGCTCCCAAATAAGGAAAAGGGAGGGAGGGCAAGAGTAGACGCCTGTACACCCACATGGTGGCAGCCAACACCAAGCCCATGAGTCTCTCGACACGTTTAGATAATCTGTTCAAGTGCTGCGCAGTTGCCACATAGCTGAACATGTACCACGGAAAAGCACTCTCTTTTGGTGTTCTCTAAATTCCAAAGAGTGGAAATTCACTCCATTTGACTGAAAATTCAATCCCTCCGTTTGAAATTAAGGACCAGGCGGATTGGAGTGAAATTTCTTCACTCCAAAAGACTGAAATTTCACTTGAGATTCCACTGGAAGGCTTCTATTCAGCCTTTTTCAGTCTTAATTCAGAGTTATTTTCACGTCTTGTCCCTAATTTCACTCTTTCCAATTTATTTAAAACACATTCCTGAACGTACAAACATGTCGTGGTTAAAGTTGTTAAACAAGTTAGCTTTGTTTCGTTTTGTTTGTTTTGTTTTGTTTAGTTTTTGTTTCTTTTACAGCTCACTCAACGGTTTACTACAAAAACTATGGTGCTAAAATCAACCCTTTTTGGTGTTATCAGATGACCACACCATAGTGCTACAATGCATTGGAGGGTGTTAAAAGTAACACCACATAACACCCAATTTTTGTAACACCAGTGAAAAGTGTTCTCTCTAAATCAGAAAGAGTGAAATTAGGGACAAGACGTTTTAGAGTGAAAATTACTCTGAATTTAGACTGAAAAAAAGCTGAAAATAGCTCCCTCCAGTAGAAACTATGAGTGAAATTTCAATCTTTTGGAAAGAAGAAATTTCACTCCTATCCGTCTGGTCCTTAATTTCAATCGCAGGGATTGAATTTTTACTCAAATAGAGTGAATTTTCACTCTTTGGAATTTAGAGAGTTGGTGTAATCCTATAACACCGGGGGTGTTAAATTTAGCACCCCAGTTTTGCAGTGTTTGAAAATAATACAGCTGGACTACCAACAGCAGCTTTTATATTTCTCTTCCTTTCTTTGTTTTCCACATTCAGGTGGTGTATGTGGCTCGCAATCCCAAGGATGTAGTGGTCTCCTTCTTCAAGTTAACGAAGGATATTTGGCCGCCCACGTTCCTCGACTTCGGCGTGTTCTTGTGGCTCTTTTATGCTCAAAAAAGTTAGTTTTTCCCAGGGGAACGGCGGGTATTCATCCCCCACCCACCACACCACAAATCCACTGACATTTTGGAATCTATCGATTCTTCCGATAAACACGTGTGGGACCGTGAAGACGTTCTGACTCGCAGTTCATGTGAAAGCCCCCCCCCACACGCACGCACACATACACTCCCGCCCATGTTTTACATACAAAGTGCGGACATTCCTTTGTTCTCCTGTGGTTAAGGAAACTTGAGAAAAATGCTCCTTTTTCTCTGACTAGGATAACTCCTTCGAGCTGGATTTTGATGATGATTCCCTGGACTGTTCCTCTCCGTTTTGCCACAGATAATTAACCTTGACCCCAAAATGCCTCTGAAACTGTTTTTCAGAGAAGGAAAAACATTGTGTGGACAGTTAAGCGTCCACACAACACCATCATACCCTACATTATGTGGACTTCTTTTGTTTAGAGGTCCACACTATGACAATTTTCCTCTCATTTCAAACAAAATTTACAATAACATTTTTCCTTTTCTCTACATTTCAGTTGGCTTTGGGCCATGGTTTGATCACGTGCTTGGCTACTGGCGACTAAAGGACCATCCAAATGTTTTGTTCTTGAAGTACGAAGATCTCCATAAGGCATGTATAATTTTGGACTCTTGGGGCTTGCCAAATAATGCACAAACGTTTTAAACTGAATTTGCCTTAAAAGTATGCATTCCAAAGTATGCGAGGGTAGACCCTGATCCCGATTATTTTAGAACATTTCTGAGCCTTGCTGCCCTCTTTACTATTTGACGCGAGTCATCTTGACCGAAATGTTATCATGCAGCAGGTCGTGAGTCAGATGTTACCTCCAGGCTGCGTTCAGAGCATTTCGTATTACGACACATGACTAGCAATAAGTTTAACAACTTGGAGTCCGCGTTACGAAAGAAAGAAAGAACATGACAAACAGGTGAAATCCCTTAACTGTCCCTCCTCTTACCGCGTTAACCGCGTGACATGACCAGGTCCGAGATACAAGAAGACATGATCATTATGAAAGGAAAAAACATCCTTTGCCCATGTTAAAGCCGGTTTATACTGCAGGCCCGCACTGTTAGAATTTTTTCTGCACATTTGCACAGAATCTTATGTCAATTCCTATGACAAATGTCATGTGCGTAGGCTCATTTTTAACAGATATTTATTCGTAGATTTACAAAGACGTTTTTTTCGGCGTATGTTTGTGGAAGCAACGTAGACGAGGTCGAGGAAGGCTGCTTACAAAGTTGAGGGAAGCAACTTACGTTTTTTTTCGTTGGCGATGAAATCGACACGTTCGATTATTATTTAATGTGTTCGAACCTATTTTCTTTTCCAGTAGACGCAGTATAATCGCAGTTGCTACCAGACTGACCTATAAAGGCACGCAGCTTGCTTATATCTACATCGATTTTTCTTTCAAATTTTGGCAGGATAAAGATATATTTGTTTTATAGCAGTCCCTATTTTGGGCACTCAAGATGACTTAAAATAACATTCTTTCCTCTCAAATTCATTACCTGTTACTCGCAATGACGGCAAACACAAGCCAAATGGTGAAACCGGCTTTATGAAAGTGGTTTTGTGCACCAAGGTCAATATTCGAAGTTAATGTTAATTCATGTTACAGGGGAAACTTTTACATGTACAAGGCTTGTTACAGGGTTCTGATGTGACTCTAAAAATCACCAAACAGTCAGAGAGTGCGTGTGTTACAGAGATTCTCTGTTATTTACAGAGGCACATCATAATGTTTTTACAGTGCGAATGTGAAAATAAAGACAATTGGACGTCAAAAAAGATTTGCAGCAAAATTTCACTCGAGTTGAAATGTGATTCATACTTTGTGCGAAAGCGAAATCGAACGCAGGTTTTTCACGTCTGAACAATATCTGCATTGAGAATGCACGCATAAAAGTTTAACATATTTTAGCACGAACGAAATCAGTGTAGTTGAAAGTAGCACAAGTTGGAACAACTAAGAAGTCTGGTTATCGGCCCCAGCACAACGGTTTGGACTATGGAGTGTGGGCCAGTCATCATCAATGATGTGGAAAATAATTATGCGTTTTTACGACCTGGCCATGTGATCATAATTTATAGGCTAATGGTAGTACTTTTTCACGACAAATGTAGAGGTCTACGTCAGCAAATCAGTTTTTTCGAAACCCAGATTCGACACCCATATTATTGTTTGCTTCCCACAATCACAGGACCTCAGAGGATCCATTCGCAAAGTTGCAGAGCATGTTGGGAAGGACCTGTCAGACGACGTCATCGAATGCATCGCGGAGCACGTGACCTTTCGCGGAATGAAGAAGACATACGGCGAACTGAAAGATTCGTACGGTGAGACCAAAGCGCTACACATGACGAACCTTTTCGGGGGTGATACGACCTACCTCAGAAAAGGTAAACTGCAAGAAACAGAGGAAGTAATGCTTATGAGCTCATCTCCATCTGAATAAGTGATTATCGAGAGGCGTTACCATGTCAACATCGAAGCAACTGGATAGAACTGTATTACAGGCATAGTACCCACACTATGCCTAAGTCTTGCGAAAAATGGGTGGGGGACACATGAACAAGATATGAGGGCCTACAAACTACACACTTTGCGTGTGCCATACATGCCAATCACATGTAGCGTCGACAAATTCATAACTTTGTCCAAAAGCTTCAAAATGTTGTCAGGAATTTTTGACTTTGTGGAAGATATACCTCAAGGCTGTTGTCAACATAAGCTTGCGAGGTTCCAGGGCTGTGGTACACCATGAAATCTGCAATGGTTCGTACCCAGACCAAACTATGGAACAATTGTGCCCTTGGCCACTGGTACGGTATCTATAGGGCCTACCGAACATTTGATTCGGCACTGCCACCTAGGGCCATGGACCGCTGCCTCGACCTTTGAAAAGGTAGCGACCTACCCGCTGGCCTATGTAACGGACTCTGACTACACGTCCCCCTCTTACTCAGTTACTGGAAGTTGATATGGGTTTCATTAATTAACAACTACTGGAGTACTTTATACAAACAAAATACACATAAGCTATTCGGGAGCCCTTGTGCCACACCTCCAACATGGGTGTGTACGCGGAATGGTAACTTTCCACGCCGCACTCCCCCTTAAAAAAACTGCGTGCCTAAGAACTCCGGCGTATGGTGCCGGTGCAATCATCCATGCGTCGCCTCATATTGGCCCTCGTGCATACTGAGACCTGTGAGAGAATTCTCCTATCTCTCGTTTTGTTTTTGGGTTTTTTTTTTTGTTTTTTTTTTTGTTTTGTGTTTTTGTTTTTTGTTTTTTTCTTCTTTTGGTCATAATTTCATTTCATTTCAGGGAAAGTCGGCGACTGGAAGAACGTCTTTACTGTTAGCCAGAACGAACTCTTCGACAAGATATACGCCTTGAGAATGGAAGGAACCAACTTGGAGTTTGACTTTGAACTTTAATGCATTTGTGGCCTACGTTTTTACTCACTGAGTAGTTTAAGGCGGAACGCATGGTTTCTCTTCCCTTAAACTAAAAGAGGCCACTAAAACTGAAAATCTGACCCGTGTAAATTCAAAATTGCCTGATCTTCATGTTCGTGAAATGGTAAACACTTTTCTAAGGAGATAAATTAACAGTTTCATGCATGATAGTTTCTGTCTCTACTTGAAATTCCTCTAATCCTTAACATTTTTGGTAAAGTCCTATTAGACAAGTTCGGAATACATCGCCTACATATTGATTCTGTTTTGCCAAAGCGATGCCACCTGCGGTGACTTTAAAGGTAACATTAATTTCGTGTATTACATTAATTCATACCCTAAACAGGCTAAGATTTACTGTGCTTGCAGGGAATTTACATAAGCTGAAAAGTTCTTCTTCCTTTTTATGTTTCGATAGCTTGATGAAAGGCAATAAAACCAAAACTGTAATTCCGGTGTACTAAATTCATCAAAACAATGTGGAAATAAAACTTTGTCGAGACAAATTCAGGGGGCCAAATTACCCGGAGTAGACGGAATAACCTAAAGGGGGTCTTGAATCAACGGGACGGGGGATTAACCTATGGATAATTCTGTGCCCCGGACAGTTTTACCGGGGGCAGACAATAAGCACAGTATGGGACGGAGAACCCCTCCCCCTTTTGTGTTGGTCATTGTTTAACCGCCTTTGTCGGAGGGGCGCGGCGTCACAGTATTCTACTGGTGCCCATGCTGCCGGTAAAATACTATGAAAATTTACATGAAAATATTTACAGTGTTTATAGGGAGAGTTACCGTCAGCACCAGCGTGTATACCACACAGTACTGTCATGCTTGTCCGGGCTCCCGTGTTCCTGCATCCGACTTCCAGATGGGGGCCAAGTCGTTTGAACCCAATTATCTTAGTTTCATATTCACTCATCATTAAAATTTCCGTTTCAAATGTGGCGTGTAGGTGCTTGTCACACGCCTTTTTCAGATGTGCTATTTCCAGACGGAGCGCGTCGTCGTTCCTCCGAATCAGCTCGTTCGAAGCCAGAGACGAATCCAAGTAAATACATTTCGGCCGAAAGCAATGCAAAGGTCCTGGAACCAAGACTTGTCGGGGAGACTTGAACTGGGCCAAATTCGTAGTTCTAAAGCGAGATGGAGACATCGCACGTTGTGACTGTGCCGTGCAAGCGTGACATGCAACTTCAATAAAACATATTTCATGAGAGACGGCAACTTGACTGAAACTTGCAGTTTGTTTTCCGGTTACTTTCGGTTATCTGCGTTCGTGATAAGTTCTGGGCTGCTGCCTCAGGCTAAAGAAGGATATTTTGTGTCTAAGACGCAGCCACGGTCCGACCTTAGCCCTTGGCGTCCGGGGAAACCGTTCGTGAACGTGAAGCATGTTGCAAGTCATTTGTATAGTTTCCTATCCTCTGATCATCACTCACGTGATATGAATATTGTATATTCTATTTGTTTTACGTGGCCCCAACAGATCACACGAAATATTCACGACTTTCCCGTCTGGAGATAGCGCCCTCCAACAGTAATGGTTCGCAATCACGGAATAGACAATATTAAGCCAACAAAAGTCTCTGGTGTTTGGTCAGCGAGTGCGTCGCCGTATACCTGCGCGTCGGCAAAATAAAACGTTTTATTTGATATCAAATGATGTCCAAAAGCTGTGAAACTTGCTGAATTGACTGGACTCCTGCAACTGGCAATTATAAACAGTACAAAGTGCGGGGAGGGAGTCTATTTTAGTATTGGCAGCGTCCAGCATATCGTGCGTATGTCATCGCGATGGACATAACGCGTTATACGTGCATCATTTTCAGAAAAAAGTGAGGTTAAACAACAAAAAAGCCCCGTCACCACACCACTTTCGGAGCTAGCTCTTGACCAGAAACAGGAGACTTTTTTGGCCTAAACGATCATGGGACCTTGCTCTATGGTCATAGGCACTGGCAGGGATGCGGTGCACGCAACGCGCTGGCTTCAAACATTGTAACTGGCGGTATGTGTGCAACCATAGTGTGACAGTGTGTGACAGATCCACTGATCTGTAGATTCGTCATGGCAACTCCCTTTCCCAGCAAAGTCTTAAAACCAAGGCTAGTCTGCACACACAATGATTCAATCGCGACGGAGTTTTCAAGTTAACTTTTTTGGGGGCATGATTTTCATCGTACCAGGATTCTTATGAAGAACGAGCACATTTCACAGAGACCTAGCTAGCTATAACAAGCTACAGAGTGGCAGAAACGTCTTGGCACTGTCTCTAGAAATGCAGTACATGTATTGCTATGTCACAAGAAATTTTCTGTCGTGCGACGCCACTGGTGTAATACTGAAGAAAATTTTGAACGTCATTCTGTTGTTGATCGTCACTGTTGCTGAATTAGGCCTATGTGTGTCGTTGATGTTTTTGCTTACGTAATAAATGGATATGTCCGTTACCGAATCCCGGTCTCCTTTACGTGTAGAATTCGATTTTATCGGTGTTATTCCCTATATAATATAACCATCGAGTTTGATCAATGCCATGCTGGTGTTTCAGAGGTTGGATATTTTCAGCAATTTTGTATCTCAGTGTGGCCCGAGCATTTTTACCTATCGCGAGTAGCAAAAAGAGTCCTTTTTTGTTTTTGGAAATGCACTTTTATTTCTCATTTGGCCTTGTCTTCAATTTTTATTTTCTTGGCCCTTTTAAGGCAGGTATTTTTCAGCTCTCTGTGGTTTTATATTTATTCAACTTTCCATATATGCACGAGCAAAACTTAAGGGTCACCCTGTGGCAAAAAACTCAAAGTAATCCTTAGTTTGTGTATGATTTTGACAGAGAAGTTTTGATGTTTTCCTGTTGTACATTTCCTTTTCTTAGGCGATTCATCCCTATACCTCAGCACAGGGCCGGCAATGAACATCTTTTTCTCACGTCTAGGTATTTTCAAAGAGCAAAATGTTGCGTTCACAAATTCGAGGAATCCTCAAACCGAAAGGTGTATTCAAACGCTGAGTATAATCCAAGGCCGTTGAAGCATTGACAGTTGTCGATATTTTTAACTTGTCAGTTATCGAAAGCAATGTGATTGCTCCGCTTGCGTACACGTAAAATAACAGTCACGTACCCCACAAGCCCGAACGCATTGTAACAACTGTCCTCCCATTAGCCTTGGTCGAGGCGAAATAACAGGCATGCGCAAAATTGCGCAGATGGAATGTACTTTCGCCGACTTTGTACACTGATGAGTGCGCGTGCGATATATATTACAATTTGCACGTTTAATATACGTGGGACAATAGAATGCAGACTTTGCGGAGGGCGCTCGGCAAAATTGTCAGTCTGGGTTACAGTAATTAAGACGTTGCTAATAAACACCTTAAAGCACACGTTTGCTATTAATCGGTAACAAAATGTGTACATGTTACTAATTTGTACCACTGCTGTGGCCATAAGACTTGCAGGCCTAAGACGGCGTAACTCAAAACCTGAAACTTAGGCCTACTTAGTATACATGTATGCTTGTTTTAACACGGTCAATGTCACGACACTCAGAAGTACCGACAGCGCAGATCATATAAGATGCACTGCAACCGACAGGCAGACTTCCGAGTGAAATGCCTGGGATTAATTGAATCGAAACTCAAATTGCTGAACTCAAACAAACTCTCTCATCATACACGTTGACATGACCCACCATGGGTGCAAACAGCGTAAATTGGCCGCATGAGGTCACACTGTGTTCGCCCTTCATATCTTTTGCAAAGGGCTGCTGACATACACACATTAATTATGCATATTGCTTCGTACTCGAACAGTACATGTATAGCAAGATCAACTAGTCACGCCTGTTCACATATTCGCCGACCTTGCCGACCACAAGTCATGGCTGGTGACAAACGACGGTCCCTTATTGTAATCGAGGTTGTCTTAAGGTCATATCACTTAATCTCACGAGCGCTGCATTTTCAACATCAACAAGCGCACACCCTCCTGAAGTACACGTACATAGGCCTATACAATGTACATGTACTATGAAGGAATCCTGAACAGCATCCACAGGATTCCACTTCAGCGCATTTGAAAGCCTGACCTATCCACACACGTACAAGCTCAGAGTTCAAGAGTAGCAACAACTGACAGAACAGCGCGTGTTGATACACAGTACACAGTGTTCATCAGGCTGCCATCATGAGCCTTACCGAGCAGATCCAGGCGATGATGCCGGACTTGATCGGCGGCAAAACCCACCAGCAAGTGGAGAAGGAGTGGGCGGCCCACGAGAAGCTGATGGGCTGTCACGTCGTGGACGGTGTCAAGTTTCCTTTCTATGTGCCTCAGTCGAACCTGGAAGCCCTGAAGACTTTCGAGGTGCGCGATGACGACGTGTTTGTTATCACCTGTCCGAGATCAGGTATGATCTGGCTAAAAAGGGTGAAATTACGTAGCACATTTTCCGGTTTTGTCTAAAAACTCGTGGGTCTGATCGGATGCAAAGTCATTCCGAGAAGTTCAGTGATAGGGCAAAATTGTAAACAAAGGAATTAGACTAACCTACTTTCTACAACACGTCAACTGTTTTCAAAATGATACTTGGGCTATGGGTGTGAGAGGAATATCTTATCAAAACCTTGTCAGCATGATTGAAAACATAATATAATTTGTTTTCTACTGACAAGTGTAGCTGAAACTCTGTGTCCACAATTCAAGTATCGAATGTTTTCAGTGTACCGAGGAAAGTATCGAAGATTATCCCGCTCAATCACAATAGTGTAAACTGAATTAGACATGAACATGGAATTTCGTTTCGTTTCACTTGGCTCGATTATCCCTTTTCAAGATGTAGTTTGCATCGGGGAGATTTGAATTTGTAATTACAAGGGTTTTTTTGGCCCTTACCCAACGTATATTTATGAACACTGTATCCTCAGTGCTTGTCCAAGAGCTTGCGAGAAAAACATTCTCAAAAGAACTTTTAATGAAAACTTAACACCTCCCCGACGCAAACTACATCTTGAAATGGTTAGCGGTACCCGCTGCTACATCCAATTCAGACCGGCCAGCCGACCCCTGCAAGCTCGGTGGTCGAGTGGTTAAGACGGACGTCTTCGCTGGTAAGCAAGAGGTCGTGGGATTGAGTCCCACCCAAGTAAGCTTGTGAATTGCTCTTGGACAAGCGCCGAGCGTGCAGTGTTCATAAAATACGTCGGTTAAGAGCCAAAACTGTGCAATCGCTTAGCTCTGTCGGAGCCGTCCTCGGTCTGTTTTGCTATCGGTGCTTGTGTTTGTCACACGCAGCGGCTCTACTCATCTCTTCCGCTCCATTCTGTGACGTAAATTGGCTTAGTCATGTGCTGGACCATGAAGGTCAGTGGTCTTTCTCTCTCGTGTCCAGTCTGGTAGATCCACCTCAGTACCATTCGAAGGTTATCCAAAACCTTTCACACATCGATCGCATCGGATCGCTGCCACAAGCAAGAACAGTAGAGGGGTACAGTGCACTAATTCAAGCCCCATTGAAAACAGTGTAAAATCAGCACTGTTTAGGGCACAATATCATGCACGCCAACATCCCTGAGATTTCTGAAACACAAATGAAATTCTTGTCTGATCACTTATCTTTCAATTCTTTTCAATTTTTTATGGGTTAACCAATTACATTTGTAATTATTCCCACAAAACAAAATCACCCCCAAAAATGATTTTTCCGAAGTCTGACTGCAGCCATTTTTCAAGTGGCAATCCTCAACTTTCTCGGGCACTTAGGACCATTTTTCAGCCGTAGTTTTTAGCCATTCTGCTCTCATATGAAAGCTCAAATACCCAGAGAGTTGATCCCGGCAACGATTTACACAATCTCACCATTTGGGGGGCCAAACAATCTCCTTTTTCAAAAGATACTGCGGGGGCACTTTTGATGCTAATGAGCTGGCCAGGAATTCTCACTTGAATTAGTGGTCTGCACCAAGAGGTGTCCGAGGTTGCAGGTTCACAATTGGCCGTGCACACTTTTTTTTTTCGTCAAAAACAAGCTTTCTTCTTTTCACCTATTTCTTCAACAGGCACTCACTGGGTGGGTGAAATAGTCCATTACGTCCTTCACGAGGGGAAGGGGGATTTCGACCGCTCGTTCATGAACTACGCGTGGGAGTTCACGCGTTCGGATGATCCAACTAAAATGGACAGCGTCACCCCCGGGTACAAGGCCTACGCAGCCATGAAGTCGCCCAGGTGTATCTTAACCCACTGCTTGGAGAGGTTTCTCCCCCTTCATATCTTGTCTGGCAACGCAAAGGTAATGCATTACAAATGTAATGTATCATTTGTCAGTGGCTCTCGACTTTGTTAAGTCCTTGTCCTTATGACAGGACAAGGACTTAACAAATTGCATGTTGGTTTTCCCGCACGTGTCTGTAATGACAGTGGGCTATGTTTTACATGACCCATGCAGCTGAGTCAAATGAGAGTTTGAAAAATTGACGTGTAATTTCGTCGTCTTGTCCTTTTTTTAAGGTGGTTTACGTAGCCCGAAACCCCAAAGACAGGCTTGTCTCGCTGTTCAACATGGCGTCACATTGGACATTTGACGAGGTGTTCTGGGGATATTGCCTTGAAAAAAGTGAGTTTGTTTACTCTCTTCTAGCAGTCCCAAAATCATTATCGCGGAAATCTCTTGTTGCTGTTTTTAAAAGTCTTGAGCCCTTTTGCGTCTTCAATTTTTGTTGCGCCACTCTTTAAGGGAATTTCAGTGATTTTTAAAAAAAATTTCTGCTCCCTGGTAACAACTTTTTCCACAATGAATTTCACAAGAATCCTGAACATTTTGCTTCCATAAACTTTTCTGAATTTTTGTCATTCGCTATTACAGTATTGTAAGCATGTGTGTGGGTAAAATATTCTCCTAAAGGAGAAAATTTGGTAATGAAAACTGGAATCTCACAGCATCAACAGTGTCTAGCTTCCTCATTTACACCACAGCAATAGCCTACTCATTTATCGAGACAGCGTGGAAAATTTCATATGTTTGAAACCAAACCAGTCTATTCACCGAATAAACCAAAACGGTGTGTCAGATACCTTTCTTGCATTGAACAGCAGTTGAACGTTGCACAACATGTGCTTCCAGGTTTGCATCATGACACCCCTTTATGTTTTCTTGTGCGTCTGGTATTCCCAGTGATGTTTGGATCTTGGTTTGATCACGTGCTTGGCTACTGGAAGCATCGAGACAACAAGAATCTTCTATTCCTGAAATACGAAGATCTCCATAAGGTTTGTCAGAGAAATTCCCCCCGCTACTGTTGTCTTTAACTTGGTGGGCCGCGCCGCTTAGCCCTACAACTATTTTGTGATTAAATGTACTGATGTCGATAACGCTTTACGTTTGACAGATACCCATGATTTTGCGTGAGGCTTACTGAGTGGCTTTTAAAGAGTTAAAGAGAAACATTTGAAATCAAAGCTTACTCAAAGGAAACTCGGCAACTTTTCAGGACCTCAGGGGATCCATCTGCAAAATCGCCAAGCATGTCGGGAAGGATCTGCCCGATGACGTCATCGACGGCATCGTGGAGAGCGTGGCCTTTAGCGGGATGCAGAGGACTTACCAACAGCTAGAGAACGATCTGGGCGAGGACGGAAAACGGTTCACTCACTCCGAGGGGAAGGCACCGTACTTAAGAAAGGGTGAGATTACACGCATACATCGTTTTGCGTTCGATTCAGTCAGTGGATTCTAAGTTGTCTCCGCCTTACTTTGCTTTTCAGTCCTTTATCCGACTGTGCCGAAAGTAGTATTCGAGAAAAGGGGTTGTGTTGTCTTTGCACGTTTCAACCCTTCTCCACTAGGACGATTTCCGTGGTGTTGATGATTCAACACAGATAGAAAACGAAATACCTTGTATGGCATTAATTTCTGACTTCGTCTATGTTGTATTGAACTCTGTAAAAACACTTTTGACAAGGAAATTTCTGCGGGGCCTGACTGTTTCCTTTATTTTTTCGTCGCAACAATTTCAGGACAAGTCGGCGACTGGAAGAACACTTTTACGGTGGCACAGAGCGCCCTCTTTGACAAGATCTACGCCTTGAGAATGGAAGGGACGGGCTTAGAGTTTGATTTTGAGCTTTGAGATTTAAAAAGTCAGCCCAGACATCTACATTGCTCCATAAAGCCTAAAATCTAACAATTCTGTCAAAGCCGCAAGGATGTTTGGTTAAATATGTGCTTCTCGGGATTCACTGTATCAAGGAAACTGCGAATCGGGCAAAGTGTATTCCCGTGGAAATGTTGTATGGAGGAGAGCATTGTTCACATGGCTATCCATGATTGCATTATTATGTACTCTGCATTGTAATGACTTTCAATACGGTTGATTCACAATAGTGCGCCTTCAGGTGTTTGCAACGCGTTGACCAATCACAGTGCGCGAAATCTGTCAACCCTTTCCAAACGCGCATTGGGAAGACAGATTTCGCGCACTGTGATTAGTCAACGCGTTGCAAACGCTTGGAGGCACACTATTGAGAATCGACCGTAATGTCAGATAGGGGCCATTTTCCTATCGTCAACTTCGTCTCCGTCTCCGAAACCAATCCCCGATTGTGGGCCTGAAGAGTTCAAATTAAATTGAAGTACTTTATTATGTTTGGCTCTTACTTATTGCAATTCAGGTAATAAAAAAAACACAGCTGAAGCCTGAGACGGAGCCGAAGCCGAATATTGGAAAACGGCCAGGGTTTCAACCCAAATGATGATGCCATAGTCGGTAACCTAATACACGTACATGAACCTGTCTGTGAATATTTCTACTGCTTTGTTTACGAGGCCTAGTACCCTGCACTTTCGTCTTGACACGAGGCGAAAATTCACAATAGTATAACAAGTGTAAGGTTTAAATTTTGTCGCATCCAGGTTGATAAGCTTGGCCTGACAAAGAGTTGAGTTAAAGTTGAGACCTGACACAGTCACAATGATATATGTGCTTGGGTTGACGATGTTTTATTAGAAAAACACGGACTAATATCATTGGGCACTAGCGAGGAAGACGGAGTTGAAGACGGAGGGAAGACAAGCGGAAAGACTTGTGGACAGACTATGGACAGACTGACCATGAAAACGATGAAACATTTTGGGGATGGTTATATAGAGGGGGATGCAAGGCTTGGTGGTATAACTTCCTGAAACTGTGGTCATGCTTGTGGTTGTAAAATTATGGCCTAGTGGTCTCAGGGAACGGGGGCAGTACTTGGAAATTGACAACAAACAGGGACTTCATTGGGATATGACCAAGCACTTAAACGGAAGTAGGATCAAGGATATGTGAGGGACCAATTGACTAAATCATGATTAATTCTGGGCTTACACAGGTACAAAAGCCTCAAAATCACTGCCCGGCGAAAATTGGAGCTCCGTAGAGAGCAGAATGTAGGGTATATAATCACCATAATCGACTCATTTACTGCTCACCGTTTCCTGACTTCCATTGTTTCTGGAAATTATTCTGGGAATTATTGAAAGACGCGCCTAGAAATAGAGTCTCTATCTGAAAGGCTTGGCCATGACGGCTGGCTGATCTCGCTTCAAGGCACAAAATATTCATTTTACACCGCCTTTGGAAGTAACTTTGCGATATGCAAAACTTCTCTTGTATTTGTATTTCTAATAAAAGTTTTGAATTGCCCGCATTCACGTTCAGTAATTGAGTGCCAACAACATGCAATGTCGAGGCTTTCTGTGTGTATCTTTTCACGCAGTGTATTATTATTAATCAGCGGTGAGTGTGATTGTGCCCACCTGTTTGGATCGGTATGAAGCTTCCGTACTGATGTTGAGGTATGCAGTCTTAACAAAGTAATTATCTACAGTATTGTCAACGCGGGCTTTTTTTGGGGGGGTCTGATGCAGGGCCTAAGTCTAGGACTAAATCTGAGCCGAAAACTTGGTGTTTGTCTTGGTCATATTTTATTCTTGACTTATATATGTCTGGATGTCTCCAAGTCTCCTCCTTAAATTAGTGGCGTAGCCACGGGGAGGGGGGAATGAGCCCCTCCCCCCCCAAAGAAAAATTCCTGCTGTCCCCCACTGATAAAAAACGGATGAATAGATATTGAACAAAGCTAGCAAAAACCTGCCCCCCCCCAAAAAAAAACACACACCACTGATATAGCTGGTGCCCCCATAAGATACTCGTGCCCCCTTTGTCTCCCCCTGAAATCCTAGCTATGCGACTGGCGCAGCCCCACTCCCCGTTTCTCCCAGGGGGGCCTTCTAAATAGTCAACTTATTCACAGTGGATGCTGCCACGAAAATGGTCGAAGTACACCCAGACGGCATTAACTATTTCCTTCCCCCTCGTTGGCTCTTTTAAGATGAAAGATCAACATGCAAAACGTCAGGCATCCTCCACTTTTTACTTCCCCGGTTCCAAAACGTACATCTTTAGGTCGTTTCCAAACGTCTGTTGAAACAACTACTGAATGTGGATCACTCAGAATTAAAGAGCACTGACGGGATATAGTTTAATAGTCTATGCTACTGAGATGGAGGCTTGTTTTCTCTTTATGGGGATGGACGTTTCTGTAATTAAGTTTCTAACGTTAACATTGTAAAATTGTTTTCAAGGTGAAATTGTTTTGTTAGATTGCTGAATAAGACAGAAGTTTGTACATGATATCAAGATGTGGTGACCGGTCGATTTGTCGTAATATTCATGCGTTCTCCCATAATCTCGGGTGAGCCAGGTCCCTGTCCCACTTCTATAAACACCTCCGTCCTATGATAAACTTGTCTCCTCGACATTTTTCGCTGGAGTCGTTGGAACAGGACAATTTCTTCTGAACGAGAGGCTGGTATTTTACAGCCGGCCCTAGGGGGAGTCTCTGGTCTGTTTACGTATTGTTTAATCGGTCAGGTGGGCAACGCTCGTTTTGGTTAGGACGGTGGACATCTATGTAAAAATCGGGGGACACCACGCGAGCTTGCACGTCACGCGCGTTTGGCGCCGGCCGCGTTGAGCACCCGTTACCTATTTTTGCTCGAACCACAGAAATATCAGAAATGTAACCGCTTGAAAATGCTGAAGATGTTTGTGGGTGTTGACAGACGAAGAAACTTTGCCAAAACAGCTTGCTAGTGTGATTTACGTGAGCACAAAAGCGTCTCTTCGAATAATGGGCTCCGAGCTGGACCAAGAGAGGCCGCAATTTTCCTAGCACCGGAGGCTCCTTTGGTAGTCACTGCGCATCGGTGGTGCACAAACGACTGTAAAACGCTAGCGTCGCCTTGCTACCAACAAAATGAACTCTCCGGGCCAACATGACTCTTTTAAACCGATGAGGGGGTGCTTCTGTTCGGGGCGGATAGTACAGTACACTTTACCGAGGTGCTCTCACGGGACCTACACACATCAAAATGTGAGACAGTTTGGTGCAAATGTCGTTTTTCACTTGCCCTTAAAAATCGTCCTATCCACAGATGAGTTGGTCTGCAACGTGTGCTTACATCCTTTTTTCAAAGCTTTTTCCCTATAAAATATTTTAAGAAGGCCGGGGCTATTTTGGAATAATAAACCTAGAATATCAGGAAACTTATGTCAGCCAGTAGGTGTGGTGTGCATCGATGTGTAGTTTTTTAAGACTACCAGAGAGTAAAGTCAAGGACTTTCACTGTTCACAAGTCTATGAGAGTACCTTCCTTTGCCTGAAATATTAATGTCAATCGATCTGTGGCAACAGCCAATAAGCGGCAGAAAACCAGGTCGGAAACCTGAATGATCAAGTAGGCCTACTTATGCGCAAGTTCGACGTCTGAGCCTTCGACCTCACTGAATATTTCATTATGCGTTTGAGGAAATAATATACAGCCACGTACAATAAAACAGTCGTGAGTCACTGAACTGTAACGTCCCGCCAGTGTGCGAAGCTATTGAGTAGCTGATCCCATGTGCCCTGGGTGTGCCCTGGGAAATATTTCCATTGGAACGTCCACACAAAAACGCCGTGAAACGTTTTGTTGTTAAGTGTTGGGAGCCAACGAAGTCGTCAAACTGCACGCGTGTTATAACTCCAGGGGCTACATCATGGACGTCACCGAGCAAATCCAGGCGATGATGCCGGACCTGATCAACGGGAAAACCCACCGACAGCTGGAAGAGGAGTTGGTGACTTACGACCGGTCGATTGGCTGTCACGTCGTGGACGGAGTCAAATTTCCCTTCTACGTGCCGCGGTCGAATCTGGAGGCCCTGAAGACTTTCGAGGTGCGCGATAATGACGTGTTCGTCATCACCTATCCAAAATCAGGTTAGACTGGCTCCCCTGGCCTATATGTAAGCCCTACACTCTCGATGGAACAGTCAGAGTAGGGAGAAAAATATGACGCAATTCCCGTGCAGCAGTGACACATAATTAGTTAACACAAAGAGCAATGCTTAGAGGGGTTACAGGTGAATAATTACCAATACAATATACCTTTCTTTCTCTGTTTCTGTCGGACTTTACTACCCCATATTTGGCTGTTATTTCCATTATCTAAAGGTGATTTGCGATTTTCGGAGTATCAAACATTTAGATTGTCTAAACGAAGTATAGAAACATGTTTTGATACGCATTTATGCAGACCAAATGTTTAACCATTCTACTGGAAAAAAATATACGCAACCTTCAAATAAATTTATTACTTATAAGAGTGTTAATCAGCTGTATGTGCGTCATTGCTTGTCAGTGTATAGCTTATTGGAAGACACCTGATTTTAGACACTACACAAAAAAATCCTCATTTCTGGTCTTTGACAGGCACACACTGGATGGGAGAAATCCTTCACTTCATTCTTCACGAGGGAAAGGGAGATTTCGACCGCTCTTTCATGGCCTACTCTTTGGAGTGCACTCTCGTAGGTGACCAGACGAAACTTGACAGCGTCACCCCCGGCTACAAGGCCATCGCAGCCATGAAGTCGCCCAGGTGTATCCTAACCCACTGCTTGGAGAGGTTCCGCCCCCCTCAGCTCTTGTCTAAAAACGCAAAGGTGGTGTACGTTTTTGGAGAGCATTATATACCCAGCAAGAAA